AAAAAACGGAATTCCACTTGAGGTCAGGCATGTTTCCCAACCCCCCCCTCCCCGCCGAGTTCTACTCCCTACCTAATTAGGGTAACAGAGGGAAATGGTACTCGGCACACTTGTGCGTCGGTGCCTTTCCCTCTCTTGTCCCTTTTCTAGTCTTCTCTACCCGGGCGGTTTAAGACTAAAGCCCCGCTCCCTAACTATTGCACTTAATTCATTTCTGCTAAGTAATCAGTAACTCTAGAGTGCTAAGCATTCAGACACACACACACATGTACACACACATGGGCATACACCCCCTCCCTGCCCCCCACTTTCGTTTGTTGGGCTTTCTCTCAGGCTTTTTAGGTTGCTCTTGAGGCTCGTTTCCCTACCCCAGTCAAGGGCTAAGTATTCACTTTTTTCTACTCCTACCTTTCTCTCTTGCCCTCTTAGCGCTGCTCTTTCTGTGTTTCTTTCTTTTGTTTCTAAGTCTAAGGCTTTTTAGGTACCTATTCAGGTCGTTCGCACGAGCGCCGCAAAGCGTGTGTGTGTGTGTGTCAAACCCTGTCCCTAAGGGCTTTCCATGTTTCCAAAGCAGGGGCGTACGGCTCGTCGTACCCACCGTACGCAATGAAGCTACGGTATGACGAGGGAGGGGTGGACTGATCATCCACCTGTACCTGCTTCAACGGTTGAGTACGCTGTTCCAATCCCTCTGTTTTGATTCCATGGTGGTTCATGATACGTCCCCCAAACCCTTTTTTTTCCCACCGCTTGTGTGTCAGATTGCAAACATTGTTCAACCATACAGTTCTCGCCGACCTTTTCGCCTTGCCGTTCCCTCACCATTTTCGACCTGGGAATTGAGCTAACTGAAAACCAATGTCAAAGTGCGACACTCTGCTTCTAAGAGGTTTTGGTTTTTGCAAAGCAGGGGGCCATCCCCCTCCCCGGTGGCGGATGGCCAACGAAGAGGCCGCTGGGGAGGGCTGCAAACGTACCTGCTGAACTGTTGCACAAGCTGTTCTCCTTTCGGCTTGCTTCTCATGGTGGTTCTCATGCTAATCCCCTAAACCTTCCCCTTTTTATCTGCTAAGTATTCAGTAAAGTGCTAACGCATCAACATTGTTCAACATTTCAGTTAAGCCGACTTTGCGCCTTTCCGTTCCCTCATCCATTTCACTGTGGATTATGGAAACTGCAAACCCTGTGACTAAGTGTGTGTTCAGAATGCCATCAAAATACACTATGCTGCAACGCCGCTACACCTGTTCTGCCATCCACTGAAGTCTGAAGGCTGTGATAAAAATGAAACACCTCGTACGTGCTTGAATGTTCCAACAAAACACCAGCATCTAGCAGGGAAGGAAACATCAACGACAGCGGCCCCCTGAGGAAGAGGCTGAAAACGGCTTTCACTTTGTGGGGATACAGTGGAGGACGCCCATACACACCTTTGAATGGAAGGGTAGTGAGTGCCTGCGCTGGCAAATCAGGCTGTTGCTAGTTAGGTCAAACACTTTGGCTTCTCAATGTAGGCTTCAATCACGTAGCCAGTGGCTGGCTGACACATCGGAGACAACGCTGCTGATGAGGAGGCAGTCGGTCAACTGCTTGGTGTCCAATGTCCGATTCCAATCAGCCCCCCTATTGAATCCCTATTGAGGACCCTCGTTAGGTTCGACCAGGAGGCATAGGTTTGAGGACCCATTAATAATAAGCGCAAGTGTGGCTGACCCTATTCCAAAACCCGTCAAAATCAGTCTAAATAATACTAGTACCATGCAAATGTTCAACTAGGACCTAGGCGAAACACGCGGTCTTTGACCTTTCTCTGCCTAATATCCATGTGCAACAATATACAGCTTGCAAAAGATTGGTTGCTCATCTGTATGCATTTCTTCTCAACTTCTCCACAATCTGTCGAAGCTGTTTGGGCTTGAAGGATTCAGTCTCTCAGGCGGTTCAGTTTCTGTTGCAATAGACCTTTGATGAAAATGGAGAGCTTGAAGGAGGCTACATCGCCAAAGCGGTGCTAAAAAACAATCCTAAACATAACACTACTCAACAAACATAAGGCTTGAGATACAATTAGCCCAACCCTGTGGTGGCCTCATTTTGCGTCAAAAGTTGTTTGGTTGGTTTGTTAGGGCGCTTGATCTATTCGCTGTGTGCTTTATTTTAGGTGTCCTGTCTAAATCCCTGTGGGCCTGGTAGCCTCATAGAAGCTACTAGTAACAAGTGCCACGCTACTAGTAACAAGAAGAATTTAATTATATAGAACTGTAATTACTAGCAAAGGAATCTACTTTGTCATGTTTGCGGCAATGAACACGATAGAATCAGCTCACAGGTTTTGGAGGTGCGAAGAACGCAGAATTCACACAGAAGCAGAATTCACCTGTTCTTAACACGTAACAGAACAATCAAAATTAAACATGTAATCAAGAAGGTCATCGCGACTAAGGTCCCCCTGATTAGGTTCCTCAAACTATCGTTTTCCAATCCCCGTAGGAATTCCCTGCAGGGGGTGGAGCCCCTCATTTTAGAGACCTAAAGCTATTTGGACTACTAAAAAGTGTCTATAAAATTCAAAACCTCTAAAATGGGGGGCCCAACCCTCAGAAGTGAGCACTTTTGACCCTCAGTACCTCCACTCTAAAATGAAGGTCTCAAGCAGCGTGTGGTGGTCAAAAAACATGTGAAAAAAATCAATTCTAGAGACCTCCATTTTAGAGTGGGAGGAGGTCATTTTAGAGAGATCAGATGCAACATGATGCGC